TACTTAGACGATATTCTCATCGCTTCGAAGACCAAAACGGAGCACAAACGTATAGTACGAAAGGTGCTCCAAATCCTGCATGAGAACCATCTGTTTCTCAAAGCGGAGAAGTGCGAGTTCGAAGTAGAAGAGACCGAGTACTTGGGGGTGATAATCAGCGAAGGAAAAATCCGCATGGACCCTGTAAAAATTGCGGGACTTTTGGACTGGCCAGTCCCCCGACGAAAGCAGGAATTACAATCCTTCCTCGGGTTTTGCAACTTCTATCGTCGTTTCATCAAAGACTATAGCAAACATGTCAAACCCCTAACGCTACTCACCGGGAAACAAGAATGGATGTGGGGGGAGGCTCAACAAAAAGCATTCGACCAGCTCAAGGAGTTATTCCGCGAGGACGTGGTGCTTGCCATCCCGTTAGACGAAGGATGATTCCGGGTGGAGGCGGACTCTAGCGAGGGAGCGGTCGGGGCCGTACTTTCCCAGTGGCAAGATGAGAAGTGGCGCCCGGTAGCCTTCCTCTCCAAGGCACTTTCCACCACCGAACGCAACTACGAAATCTACGACAAGGAGCTCCTGGCCATCATGATCGCTCTCGAAGAATGGCGCCAATACCTCATGGGAGCAAAGGAAGATTTTGAGATTTGGACGGACCATTCCAATCTCCAGTACTTCCGCAAGCCCCAGAAGCTCAACCGCCGACAAGCGCGGTGGGTGACCGAGTTAGCGGAATACCAATTCACCCTGCACCACAAGCCCGGAGCCCAGAATCAGAAGGCGGACCTCTTGTCAAGGAGGGCGGACCACGATCAGGGCAAGGAGGATAATCGAGACGTTGTAGTACTCAAGGCGGAGCATTTCAGGGCTTTGGTCATGCCCACCACCGAAGAACTACACGAACGAATCAAAGTGGCAACGCACGACCCTCGTCGCTGGGACAGGGGGATCTCCGACTCCTTGAACCACGAGAAGGGTGTTTCTCGTAGCCAGGATCTATTGTGGTATGACGGGCGAATCTATGTACCGGTAGACCGCGACCTCCAAGGGCAGATCATAGCCCTCAAACATGATCACGTTACCGCTGGCCACCCTGGGATTGAAAAAACCAAGGAGTTGATACTTCGGGATTACTGGTGGCCGAGAATGCGTCGAGACGTAGAAGCATACGTAAAAGGGTGCGACGTCTGCCAACGAACCAAAGCGGATCGCTGTCCAAAGAAGGCTCCCTTACATCCCAACGAGGTTCCAGTTCATCCTTGGACCCACATTTCGGTGGACATGATCACCAAACTACCGAATTCAAAAGGTTTTGACTCAATCTTGGTTATTGTCGATCGTTTCTCGAAGGCCATCATCCCTATCGCGTGCAGCGAGCAGCTCACATCGTCGGGATTCGCTAGGATCCTAAGGGACTACGTCTACGTACCCTATGGAGTAATGCCAGAAAAGGTAATCTCTGATCGGGGCTCGGTATTCGTCTCCAAATTCATGAAGGAATTCTATCAACTTCTACACGTAGAAGGAAACCCGTCCACGGCCTATCACCCTCAAACGGATGGACAGACCGAGAGGGTTAATCAAGAGATCGAGAAATACCTCAAGATGTTCGTTAACGACCGACAGGACGATTGGAGTGAGTGGTTACCGCTGGCGGCGTTTACACACAATAACCGACAGCACTCAGCCACCGGATACTCCCCCTATAAGGTCATCTTCGGAAGGGACGGGAAGTTATCAAGAAACCTCAGCGGGTGACAATGGTCCCAGCAGCGGGAAAAATGGTGGAAGAAATAGAAAAGGTGCAGGGAGAAGCCAGAAAGTCACTGGAAAAGGCGGCGGAGTCCATGAAAAGGGCCCACGACAAGCACAAGAGCGCGGCCGTGGAGTACCGAGCCGGGGATAAGGTGTGGCTTGATACAACCAACCTTCATCTCCCTCGACCAACTAAGAAGCTGGGCGACCGATGAGTGGGCCCTTTCGTAGTTATTGCAAAAAAGGGAGCCTCGGCGTACGAACTAAAATTACCGGCTGCATGGAAGATCCACAACCGCTTCAACGAGTCCCTATTGACACCCTATGTCGCGCCCTCCTTTTCGAATCAACCGCGACCCGAGAGGCCACCCCCAGAATTGATCGAAGACGAGGAGGAATATGAAATCGAGGAAATAGTCGAGCAGCGAGACAAAGTAGTGGGTCGAGGGTGAGCCCATCGCACCATCACCGAATACTTGGTGAAATGGAAGGGTTACCCGAAAGAGGAGAACTCCTGGGTCAAACGGTCCAACATGGCTAACGCCGAAGAACTGGTTAATGAATACGAGGCACGTCTCCGAAGGATTCAATGGGAAGTAAACAAATATGGACGAACGGTGGGGGTTGATCATAAAGTACCACGCAACCTCCCCATCGAATACCACGACCCAACCACACCTTGCCTTACGGAAATCGAGACCGTATACTCCTCCCAATGTTCGGCTCCAGCGCATTCCGACGAGGAGATCAATGTGATAGGGGAGGTAGCTGGCTCGGATGCTGGATGAGGCAACGGACCCGTGTCAACCAGCTCGTCTTTCCAACGGCTTGTAGGGGAAATATTGGAATCGATGGATCGTGCATTACAAGAGGAAAACAAGAAGTGGCTCTGGGACAACAAGGTTCCGGATGACAACTATTGGAAGTACACTCCACCAAAAGGGGATCCACGATTCGACAACCCCAAGGTCCGTGACTCCTACTTACGACGACGCACCCAAGAGATCAAAGACTCTAGGCGGGAGAACAGACCCTACAGGAACCCGCCAATCCTACTCGACCCTTCCTCTGACGACGAAGCTGATGTAGACCACCTTCAAAAAGTAACGGAAAATTGGGATTTCGACAGCGAAGATGATGACAACAACGATGATAGCGTCATGTCCTTTTACAGTCAGTCGCAACAAAGCGGAGGTGAAACTGAGGACTCATTCGGGACGAACGAGTCTTAAGAGGGGGGTAATGTTACGGTTTATTCTTTTCTTTTCCTTTCTTTATGTATTCATGCTTACTCTTTGATGCGATTCCCATCGGACACTCTCACCGTACTATTTTTAGTGTACTCAATGTGTATTTAAGTAAAGCCTCAGCTGGTCTAAACCCCAGCTTCGGCTAAGGTTTAATCTACCTAACTCAAAGCTCCTTTCTTCGTGACTATCTAAGTTCACTCCTGGCTCTTGCTTTGCGCCTTTGACCTCTGAGAGTATCGTTCACCGAAGTGCGAGTGGCGATCCTTAGTTGATCTAAGTCGATAAGAGTTAGTGGCTAACACTAAAGGGGGCGAACCTCAAAAACCCACACACACACTCACACAACTACACAAACTACAATCACCCTCGTAAGTTCTAGGGGGAGCGATTATTTCTAATGCGATCCAACTATACTTCAATATCTCGAAGAGTTTCTCTTATTCTCAGCGCTCTTAGCGAAGCTAAGCTTTCTCTAATGACTTCCTAAGTCTAGGAACTTTTTACAGGAAGGCCGTTCACTGGTGCGACGCGACCTTCAAGGCAGATTTGAGTTATAATACACAAGGGACACTGATCCCAACAGAAACAGAGGTAATACACGCCGAAACTTTAGTGAGCTCGCTAAAAGAACACCACAGGCAAGCACTGACTTAGCCTGCTCGCTACACAACTGTATGTAGGGGTTCTCCAACTAACTCCAGCAGGTTATCTCGACTCAAGAACACTTCAGAAGCGCTCGGAAAACAGATTCAGAAACGGAACTTCGAACAGAACTGACATGGAACAGACTGAAACAGAACAGAACAGAACAGAACAGATCTCAGATTTCCACTTCAAAACATTCTCCGAACAGACTTATCACACTCAACAGAACAGAAACAGCGTCACTGATTTGTATTCACTCTGACTAAGTTCTCAAAAGTCTTATCAAAAGGGTATCTCGTATTTCTCTGAGTGAGCTCGCTAATTCTATGCACAGCTCGAAGTCACAAACTGATCCTTTGTTACAGTACTGCCTTCAACGCGTGCACGGGAACTCGGGGGCTCGAAACTTTGCCTCTACCTACTGTAACCAGCCTACTTATACTACAGGGGAATTAGAATTACAAATGTTGTGCAGTACCCAGACTCCTACATGCGTAGCACATTGCCACCGCCGCCTTACTGAGCATCCGAGTCAGACTTCCCAGTTTTAGTCTCATTTCTATAGTGAGCTCGCTAAACACGTGCCAAGAGGTGCTCTCCCGACACCCGCGGGCTTGTTCTCTAGCGACCGACAGGTCTAGGCGCACGGAACTATCAGTTCTGGCGTGTGTCGTTCAGGACTTCTTTCTTGGATTCACAGAGGCTTCTCGTAGACACGGCAACAAGTGAGTCTTCGAACAATGGGACTCAGAACAATGGAACGCGGGCTCGCGGACTTCAGCTGAAGCCCATTGCCCAAGCTCGTGCCGGTGATATCTGTCAGCTCACTTAAGGATTTCCCCAGATTTTCAGGTACGGCACGTCACAGTTAGCGAGCACGCTAAGTGTTCTCAGTGTCAGTGCAATCTTCAAGGTTTTATCTAGCACCCGCGAGTGTGCTTGTAAGTTAGAGCCTAAGGCATTGGGTATAGGGTTTGGCCTTCTCATCACGCATGCCCGTCAGGTACAGTGCTGTGACTAAGTCCTGTTTAGAATCCTGTTGCTTCTTATGCCATAAGTTATATTCCATGTCATTGCACTGCGTAGCATTAGTGTCAATGCGTAGTTTTAGTCCGCTCGCTCACTATCTCTCAGTATGCATGTAAAACACTCTAGATTGCAAAATTACACGCGTAAATAGGCTGCAGTCGCAACAACGGTCTCCTTTTTTTTACCTCCGCCCTTCGTTGTGATCTAACTGTAAGTGGTCCCAGCATGTCTATCACGCCCATACCAATTGTAAATGTTATATGTAGATAATAAAAGGAATATATGATGCAAGATAGTAAAAATGAACACCGAGAATGGCAACGCAACATGGAACATGCATTCCTTGACCTTGAAGCTATAGTCAATGATGAAGACCAGGAAGATGATGAAAGTGACGAGGACATAGAAGGTACGTAACCTCTGACACGTCCTAGATATACACCAATGCAATCTAGACTTTATCGATGATTCCGATTTGCCTGACGAAACGCCGACCACTGCTAAACCTGCACACGAAGGAGGTGGAGATGAATTTGACGCGATGATGGAGGATATTGCGAATCGCTGGATATCAACTGGATCCAAGGCGCAAAAAACTGACGAGTGCCGATCAAACGTAGACTATCGGTTGGGGAGCAACCCCAGTAATATTTGTCGATTTGAAAAGCAGGATTATCTGTTATGGAGGGTACGATGTGAGGTGAGTACAATTTGTATGTTTGATGCATCGTATTGAGTACATCCAGCGTTTTCGAGAATACGAGGCTATACAACATATAATGTCCAACACGAAAGGACATGATATATGCTCTGCTTTCTACCGCAATAATCGACATGGATGGATATATATGGAAGCGCCTTACAATGAAGTTGTAAAAAAATTCCTTCTCATGACACCCGGAGTACGGAAGATGGGTTACGCTCCGCCATGGTATATCAGAGTCGAGTCGATAGATATTGCGGAATGGGGAACTATCCTCTGTGAAGATGACGAGCAGCATCTTCAAGCTGGCTCATGGGTCCGCATTAAACGTGGACTGTATCGAGACGACATTGGTGTTATATATGAGACTACACCGGGAAATGTTATAGTATTGCTCATTCCTCGGTTGAGCCTCGAACCGCCTATCATCCAAGGAAAACGCCAATACTGACCGGAACGCCCAGCTCCGTCCCACCTATTCGATCCTTTATGGTTTTGAGATGGTGCAAATGCAACTAAGCATGAAAGGACATTCGATGACACTGTCACAATTTTTCATGGACATAAATTTATAGGAGGACTCATGCTCAAGAAGATATCCTCTTACGGAGTCGAGGAGGCCAAGCGAATCGAACCGCATGTCGCAGGCATATATTTGACCAGCAATTTACCGGTCTTGCATGAGTGGTCACAAAAAATGCCTCCGCCACATGGGTGGTTGTTCAACGTCGACGAACGGGTATCAATCAAGTCGCTGGGCTCGAACGGCATTGTAACTGGATCCACGCGAGATCGTGTACAAGTATGGCACGAAGAGACGTTGACAACAGTCGAGACAACATACTGGGATCTGCGCAAGGACTTTCAACCAGGAGATTTTGTGGTGGCAACTACAGACGTGCTTGAAGGACGCCAGGGATGGGTAATTGAATTGCAGGAATCAGATCTTGATATTGAAGTGGTGGTTTTGGAAAGAAACACTGATGGGAAACAAACATCCATCGAGGTAAGTGGTCAAAGTCACCAAAAAAAAAGGAGAGAAAGGCAGCAAAAACTGATCCATTGGTAGTTCTTCACTACTCATGCAAATTCCTTGCGACAAGGCGAGCCATCCGACAAGATATATGCATTCCTCCAACAAAACAACACACGCGAACAAGAACTGAACATGCAGACATGCAAAGTACCATGGATAGGCATACAAGTAAACATTTCCATACCAGGGCATAGAAAAGCACATGGAACCGTAGAAGATGTCGTCTTGGATCCGAAAATCCCCAGCGGTGTCAAAGTTCTGGTCCGATACGACACAACATATGATCCAAACAGACCATTCTCAATGGAGACCGTGGCTTACGAGCAAGCCACAGAATGCAGGTCAGCAGTTGAACATACATTACGATACACTGACACTAACAGACTTCAAGATCAAGGTGGCCTTTATATTCATACCGTCCACTCTGGCCAAACGAAATGTTATATCGCCCACAAGCTGAATTCCTCAAGCAAGAGTGATATATGTTCGAAGGTTATATGCTACCGACCACAATAATCAACCCTCCCCAAAGGGAAAGAAGCACATCTCCAATCCGCAGATGCACACCACCGCTTGAGGGTGAACACCCACCACCATCAATGATTATTACTATGGAAGACGCGGCATGGAATCCGAGAGCAAGCGACGAGGAAGGACTACTGAAGGACCATTGGATATACCAAGAAGCCTTCAGGAACCAGCAACTCATGGTCAAAGCAGATGGGGTAGAAAAAACCATATGGGCGGAAAATGACGGCGACCAGGTTATCCTGCTATATAAGATCGGACATGCGACAAAGATGCTAAAGCCAAGAACTTTAGTTCCTTCACACCCAACACCTTGGGATACCAACGTCTTTGTGATTGTACGTGGGGAACACGCCGGCAAAACAGTTTGACCTCGCTGGTTTGACAAACATGCGATGGGTCACAAGTTTCGTGTGGCTGTTGTGATACAGAACAAAGGAATGCCGGATAGTCTGACAGGAGAAGAGCTGGACATAGAATCGAAGAACATGACAAAGATGGCAGAAGCAAAGGAGGCGACAAAATTGAATACAAAACTGAAGAATTCCATAATTGTAACGGTACAAAAGAATAGGTGTCCTCTGAATTAATGTAACACATTGCTTTGATCTAAACCAGAACGTATACCACAAGATGCGCGGTTTTAGAGCCAAGTCTGTTTAGATTAAGCTTGTTCAACGATATACTACGAAGCAAGCCGTTATCCTTCATGCCGTCATACTTGTAAGCTGTGTTCGGTAGAAATATACGGGAACAAAAATGCTCTGCTCCAAAGTAAATAATGAATGCCAATACATAAGCGCGCGTCCCACCTTGTACAGGAACTATAAGTTGAAGGTTAATCGAAGTCCGGGCGGCATACTCAGGCTAGAGCTGAAAAGACATTAAAGGAGGTGGAGACTCGAACATCGCACTGTATTGCATATACCCACTGCATCTATGTGTGGATATAACATGCTCGAAGGCAGACTGGAACCCACTGCCATTCCGTGAATGAAATAGTAATAAGACTGTCAACCAATCCTGTATAGAAGCCACAGCTGCGGCAGTCGTTGGTTGTCCTGTTTGCATCCACGCCAACGGACCACATATGCCGACAAAAGACGTCTTCGCATCTGATAAGATAATGTAACATCCTCTGTCACAGCAGACATAGGGAAGTATGTTACGCTCAGTATCTCCCCGCATCGTATCAGCTAAATCAGCGACACCTGCCATAGATTTACCAAATCGGCAGAAACTTTGAGGATAACGAGCGAACAAAAGATCATGTATACGATCCCGACCAGAGTCAAGAAGAGCAGAAGTGGTTTTCCCTCCATTAACACCCATAGATCAGAATATCATACCAATCAGACTAGTCACCTCGGTGGAAGCTACCCATGCATCTCGCCAAATGGTGCTCTGAGACCAATACAAGTAGAACAGAGGTGTTAACAGAGAATCGTATGCGCAGGACCAGTTATCGTGATCCCACTTACATCCATATAAGGAATATGACTGCGTCGTGTCGTGTTTCTTTCGTTTTTTAGTACTGCCATGGCTTTCACCGTCTTCTCTAGCACGCTTCGTGGCTTTTTCGTCATATTCAACATTGTAGGGTACAGAAGCCAAATCTTCAATTTCTATTATCTGACCTTCTTTGAACCCGTTTCTGACGAGGGTATTGTGAGCAATGTTCTCAAACTTGCGCATTTCCAGTTTGAGGTCAAGTGGCAATGGTTTATTCAAGTCGGATAATGTCACCTTATCTGCTATAAAAAGACCATTTCTGTTGGTAGCGCGCGACACAGCAACATAAGCTTGATACCCTCCTTCACTGAGATATGTCAAAAGGCCATCAGGCATGGTTTGTCCTTGTGCTACGTGACCAGTGCAAGCAAAACCTGGTTGTACAGGCACTTGTTCACGTGTAACTGTAACGAACTCGGCTTTCTCAGACTCTCCGACCATCTTGTGTTTGAATGTCCAAGACATGGGCTTTATGGGAAAGTATCCCATGGGGAGACCGGAGAGTTTGATTTTCGAAGAAGGGAACTCTACAATGATAGCGATAAGATATGTGAAATTGTACAGGTCATTGGCTAATTCAAGATGACGGACATATCCTTGAGCCCCATTTGTTATCTTCAGATCCGTCGAAAGGTTGCGATACTGTAGAATTACTGGCATACCAACATAGAATGGTATTATACCGGGCAAACCCCCCTGATTCATCAAGGCAGATACATCTTGGTTCAGCAGAGCCCGTCGGTATTGCTCGGGAACAATACGACCGTTCACCTTGTCCAAAGTGGCGCAATTGAATAGATGAGTTTCAGGCACTTTGCTAATAGCCTTATAACAATTAATTGCATGACGAAGGAAGTTTGTAGTAACGATAGCCACAGCTTTACTATGTGCAGGTGCACTCATATCTATGCCATGTGGATGCGAGCTAGAACGTATAACGCGTTCATTGAATAGGTCGACATCCTTTTGTGTGCATACTCTTTCACATAAATGAGAAATGGCCTGACTATATTCTTCATCCGCTTCCATTCTTTTCTGATGGTGCAAGAATATGGCATCTGTGATCGAGTTCCATGCCATATGACCAAGTCATTTGTTAAGATTCTCATGATCCACCTTCTGATTATGAGTAGTGCACACATAAACAGGAGAACCTCCAATGGGAGGATATTGATACAGATCACCGCTAAAGATAACCATCATACCACCAAACCACCAATTCAGCTGGTTCTTGCCATAACGGCAGGCGGCGTCGATCTCCAGTAAAAGCTCCTGCTGCAGCATAGAGACTTCATCTATGACAATAACATCGACATCTTTCAGCTGATCTCTGAGCTGATTCCGCCCCTTCACAGTCATTGTCACATACAAAGTGTCTTTCCCGCCAAGGGATTTATTAGTGTGTTTGAACGCTTTATTAGATATGCGCAAACCAAAAGCCTTATGCAAGGTCATCCCATCGTTGTTGGAAGTGGCTGAACCAGTGGGAGCCATGAAACAGATAGCGTGAGCAGATCCGAAAGCAGCCATAACTTCAGTAAGAGCCTGAACAACATAGGTTTTCCCCGTACTGCCTGGACCCATCAAGAACAATCTCAAGGGAAAAGGCTCTACAGCGGAAGGAGTCGAAGAGGGCTGTGAAAACTTTCGCTTCACATATGTGGTAGCCATTAAATGAAAGCGTACTCCTGTTCAGGGTTCAACTTCCATTTTGTGACCGTGGCGTTCATCAGTTCCAGCACAGTTTGCCTCTTCCGAGCAGTGTGGGACAAAGTGGCCTTTACACCAATGACAGGAGGCGGTATAAACACAGACAATGAACCTTCATCATGGTCAAGATCATTGGATGATAAATTATTTGTAGTAGATCGAACAGGCAAATTCGAGCTACCATCCATCTGCTCTTTTACATCACCTGCATTGAGCCTGGACACCATCACCTGTGCTTCTTGATGTTTAATCTCTGACTGCCAATCGGTCATCATGGCAGGCGTGATCTTGAACCCGTACGGCACTGAAGAGCTGGAGGCAAAACTCGATCCCATGCATGGAACGTCCCACGAAGGCGCGAAAAAATTAGCTTCACCCAAGCGCACGAGTTGCACATGCGCTTTCGAATCACATGCTTTATCTGCATCGGTCTTACCAGTTAGTTCGATGAGACTGTCTAAATCCTTATGCGCAAACATGTTTGTGACCAGCTGCGAACTCCTGGCAAGCGACTGTCGCTTTCGCAAATGCTCAGCATCCCTCTCGTCCTTGCACTCATGCATGGCTTCCCAATTTGACATGCACCGGACTGCTCGTTCACTAAAGCTATAAGTCCTGAAGACTTCTGAAACCGAGTCGGCAGGATGCAACAACGGAACGTTGAGATGAAAAGGTTTGAAATGCATGAGCATAAACAACGCATAGCAAGGATCATTCACTCTAGGTAACTTATGGCCGATAATTCTAGGTACTTTCCTAGTACGATATGGGTATTCGTCAATAGATGTATGCTCCACGATCTCATATGTTTTATGCAACGAATAACCAGAGAGGAGTTCATAACGAGGAAGTCGGGTTGACCTGGACCCTTGTTCATATTCTCTGAGCGGATCATTAGTACATGCAGTGCGATCGCGCTTACATTCCACTCTGAACCTTGCAACGAAATCATAAAATGAGACATCAAACAACTCTGGATTGCGGTGCAGGTAATCTTGCACCTGAGACCTCTTTGATAAATTCCCGTCTTCGTCCACGCGAAGGGTAACAAACGCGTCCTCCACTTCCTCGTCCCCATCGGTGTCACCAATCTGACAATAAGATTTTGCGTGCTCCATTAGGAGACCCGACATCATAGGTACTGTATCGTGTGATCGAAATGCCTCCTCTTTGCCTCTAATAACTCTGGCCGCTTGTTGAGCATGGACTTGTTGCTGCTTTGAATATTGCGACAAACACTTGTGGATGACAGTGCGAGCCCGTAAATGTGTATCACTCGTTGACCCAGTGGTGTGGGCACGAAGGACAGCATCTGCTAATAAAGTCAACAGCTCGTACATTTTAACGCTCATTTTTGTTATATAATCTGTGATATAAAACATGGCAGATTTACACGACTTTCCTGACAATACAAACCTCAAATCATGATTGAAGTGACTGAACACAAGAATCGACCTATTATGATAGTTGACCCAAATGTCGCGACATGCCAGAACAATTGACTTCAATTCGGGATCATAGAAAGAGATGGAAACGTAGTCGTGAGGAAATTGAAAACGACAAGTGCTATGATCGTATTTGTAACAAACCGGCTTATGCACATGACGCTGAAGATGCTCTCCCACATACTTGACCTCCTGTTCGATCACAGATCGAAAAATGTCCCATTCTTCAGCAGTCGCGTCCTCACTAGGTACAACAGGAGGCCTTTCAGTTCTAGGATTACCATCGTGATTGAAGGGAATTCCATCCAGTAGATCGTGTACAATGATATCATCGAGAAAAGCAAAAAACCGGTCCTGGAAATCCCTAGACTCCTCCAACTTTCTATGCAGTTCAGTAGGATTCATACATCCTTTTAATATCAGCAAGAAATGTCCATGATATGCTCCACGACCGGTCAGCTCATCCGTACTGTAAAACGCTTCCAGGTGACCCAGGATGCCTCCTGCTTCTGTGGACATGCACGTGTCAAAATCCCACCCAAACATATATTGGAATAGACATCGCACCACGAAATCAAAGAAGTCCATTCCAGCCACTGGATCTTGGGCAAGACGCAATCCTCGCTGAGCATATTCTGCAATCTGAGGATATCGTTCATCCAAATTAACAGTCTTGTCACCCCACATAAACTGAAATATGGGACTATGCGCAGGAGCAGGGTTTGCAGTGAAAAAAAGGTGAAACAGTCCAAAATGGCC